TGGATTTTTTTCTTTTCTTCTTGGTAAATACTTCAAAAATTTGACTTTGGCAATACCAAAGTGATTCATGCTACATAAGAGGTGCCAAGAAAGGACTGCATAAGTTGGGCATACTGATATTGGGAGGTGCTGCTGCAATATCATTGAGCATCAGTGTTAAAATAAGGTGCATTTCTGAAGTCGTGTAAGTCCTTGTAACCCAAGATCTGGTTTTGGTAACTCATAGTGAGCACAGCCACTTGAAAGGGTGAAATATTTAGGTCCAGAACTTGTTTTATGGGATGTCCGGCTGCGTGCGGTTGTTAGAGTTCTTGCAAAAAAAAAATAACAACAACAAAAAAACCCACCACCAACAACAAAGCCCATAACCCAATGCTCTGTGACTTAACTAACTTATAAGGGTATAATTTTGTATAGGGCTACAAAAAATGGGTTTTAATCATGGCGCTTCACATACATCCGTTCTTCGACCATTTTTATTTCGTGATACAGCCATCACATCTATATATATCTCATAAGAGCTATGTAGCTTTTACAAGATATAAAATTCTACAGTCCTTTTTCAAATAGCTTTCATACTATTGTGTAAAATATTATTTTATAGGTTGTTCACTTATGATGTGGTAAGATATGAACAGACACTTAAAAGGAAAAAAAAATCCAGATGAGGTAGTTAAATGTTTTTTATGATCAGTTAAAAAATATTTTCTGCAAAACTGAACATATTTTGATTGCATAAAACTAAACATGCACCGATGAGAGTTACACATATAAAATAAAGCCATTATGGTCTACTTTTTTTTCCCTTTTTTTTTCTCCTTAGAGGAAATCGGTGCAAAAAGCACTGACCTAAAAGAATCTTGAAATCAAAATCTGTTCTCTATGTTTCCAGATACTTAAGATTTTATCTTTATCCAGATTTGGGATAAGATCAGTAAAGTTTACACATGGAGAGGTGTCAGTTCTGAAGTATTTGGCAAAATATTTGGATGTATATTTCATCCCTCTTTTTTCTAGAATGCTACTGCTTGTGTCCTGGAATAGGAACAGAAGCACCAGAGATCTAAATTATTCAATCTAAATGAATAATCAAATAGGGATTTTGAGTATATGACTACACCGTGCTAATTTTGGTTGATTTCAAACATATGGGTAACTTTTAGCAAATAATTTATCTGTACATTCCGTAGAAAATTTAATATACTTTATAGTGCAAATATTATGCTTGAAGTATTCAAGATCCTGAGAACTGGAGTTTAACATTGTTTGAGGATGTGTTTGTACATGGGCTTCCTAGGGAGAGATCTCTGTCCAGAAATCAAGAAAGTCTGTGAAAGCAGAGTTTCAGTCTAGATTAATGTGAACACTAAGAGTCTATTGGTAATTTCCATAAAGTGTCAGCCTTGCTCATTTCTCTCTGACTTTGGTTCCTATTTCCCCTCACTAAATGATGCCTCTGTGGATGACTGCTCTCTGAGTTGGTGCTACTCAATGCAGAATAGATGTCACATTCCAGCAGAGTGAAAGAAATTATGGCTGAAATAGGAAAATGAGTTGCTAGTGTAACATTATATGTCAGTAGTGTTTCTAACCATGTAAAAGATTGTGACTTAAGATACTAGCCAATTTCTTACTGAAAAACTATTTCATCTTGATTTCCAGATGGATGTTGTTAGTCTTATGTCCACTTTTTTCTCTCTTTGGCAAAAGAATACTTCTCTCATGTTACGTGGAATATCTACCAATTAGAATTTTTTTACCTTACATTTTCTGTCAGTCAAACATATAACTGAAAGGATTGTGAAGGTGAATTTTTTTTTGCCATCAGAGTAAGGCATATTTGATTTTTATGTATTGTTTGACACTTCCAAATCTTGCACTTAGGACAAGAATGCTTTTGTCCATAATCTGGCTCTGTGAAATTTCATGAGATCAAAGCTCAGGTTGCAAACAGAGTTTTTGAGTTCAACTGACTGTTGATAAGAATATGTAGGTGATTAAAGATAGAATTTTTTTTTTTTTTAACATGAAGCTTTCTTGGCTGAAAAATAAACATCAATTTCCATTTAACTGAAATTTTTTTCGCTGTGTATCTCTGGGGAAGAACTGGAAAAAATACAAGCAGTATAATGATTGTCCTTTAAACCAGAGGCATTAAAACTATTAGATTCTGATAAAGAACATTAATGCATGGGGTTCACAACATCCTGAATATGCATCAATGATAATAAATTCAGATTCATGGAAGTACTTTGCAATATAATGTTTATGCAAATTTCACTGAGAATTTGTCCAGAGTGATTTATATAAAATTACAGAAATCATACATGCCTCTACTGTTCACATTAAATAAGTAGTTAGGGCTTCTTAGCAGACCTTTCATTTCTCACTGTGATTTAAAAATGAGTTTGATTTCTGATCTCGGTGTTTTATTGCGCGTTCTCCTAAACATAATGAAATCTCCTAAAATAATGAAATAATTGTTATGGATCATAATTTAAGATAAATTCCATTGAAGCTTCCTATTGAAGATAAAGATGGTGTCAGCAACAACTTCTATAAAACACTTTTTCAGTGAAGGTAAAACATTGAATTTGTTTTTGTGCTTGACTACTGCATTGCCAGTCAGATAAAGAAGGAAAATAATCTATGAATTATAGTCAGTGCTAAAGCAAACAAAGGCTTTTAGTATAGAAGTCAATTTTTCTCTGCTAAGTGCCAAAGGATCTGCCTCCACGGACATGAAGGGAGAATCTGCTTGACCGTAAAGGAGAAATGGTCATGGGTCTGTGCTTTTGCTGTCATTCTAGAAGTGGCTGATTGGCAGCTTAAGCTACACCAAGCACCCACAGCCAGGAGTGGGGCTGCAAGGATCTGGGCGGCTCCTGCAAGCTCCAGGCTTCCGTTGTGTAGGAGTTGGGAGTTCAGAGAAGGCTGTGAATGATCCACATTCTTAACTGCTTTCCCTTGATTTACATTTGATTCTGAACTGCTTAACCACTGGTGGATTATTTCAATTTTCCTGGTGAATAATGCATAAGGGTATATAAGTGGAAGTTCCCTGGCTGAGTGGGCTGCAGATGAAAAGTGTCAGCTCCTTCGCAGCATTAATGTGTGACTTGTTTTTTCCTCAGGTTAAAGCTGTAGAGAACCTAGACAAACTTTTTTTTGACAGCTCCTACAAATGCCAAAATATTGCCGATGTTTGCTTTTTCTCTTCTTTCTCATTTGAATACCTGTTATTACAGTGGAAAAACTCAGTTGCCAGTTTTGCATTATGAATTTGTTTTCCTCAGGACTCCCCTTCAAAATTTCAGTCCTACATTGTTGTACCTGCTGCTTAAGCTTTCTGAAAGCTGACAGGAACGAGAATGTCTTTGTTTCTCTGCCTTTAAGGTTAATTTGTTTTACTGGCTTGGACAAATTTCATCTGCTCCTTTCTTGCACTTCCTTATTCGGCAGTATGTTCCCTCAAAGGGTTACTGGGGTATCTATCCCACCAGCAACCCTGAGGCACAGATACAAGTATGTTTTTTGGTTTTTTTTTTTTTTGCATAAACGTGGAATATTTGACATAGGTGTATGTGAAGACCACAAATTCTATAGTAATTGATGCAACACTTACTGTCACCCGTGGTGCACTTGTAGGCAAATGTCTACACATTTTCCCTTACTGGTTGGATGTTTTTAATGTACACTTGTGTGCCCTGCCATAGGCAGAAAAGATTGGAACTTGGTTAGTGTCTAGCAGTTCTACTTTCAAGAATGTCAGAAAATTAAAGCACTGCTACTGTTCTTGTTTGCTTGTGGTTAGGCTTAAATTTACAGATGTTTATTTGTGATCATAATTTGATCTCTAAAATGTCAAAACTCTGCAACTTACACTAAACCATTCTAAGCCATTCTAAACCAAGTGTTTAATCAGAGTAGACAAGTATGTAATTCGAAGGCTTCCAAGGAGGTGTGATGTATCAATTATCTTGGAAAACAATGTTTGATGTGATTCCTTCATAGTGAGTGGGATTGAAAAAAAAACCCTTAAAACGTGAGATCATGCTACTGAAACAAACAGGCCTATAAAATACAACTCTTCAAAACTTCCAAATATTATTTGAATTTAGGCATCCAGACATGATAAACACATTCTAAAGTGTAAAATGTTGAGCTAAACTTAGCCTGATTGGAAAGATTGAAAACTTGCTTAATCATAGAAGTGATACAGTAAACATGACAGAATTGTGCAAATGTTTGAAGAACAGTTCTGTTTTAGTAGTGATGACAATAGAACTCTGAAAGTATTTGGAAACAGTCCTAAGAGTATTTTGTAAACTTGTTTAGGATTTGATGTAGAAATGCTGAAATTGGTAGTGAAAGGTTTGGCAAAAATGCATGTTACTTTTTTAAATCATATGAGTTCTCAAGATGTAATCAAAGAGTAGAATCAAAAGAGGGATAAGTGTGAAAAGAGGAGATTGAAGTTTGGAATAATTACAAATCACTCTATAAAAGCCATATATGATCTCTTTGTGGTGGGAGAGCTATGATTCTGAGACCATGGGGTCTGACATGATGGTGTAGTAGTAGAGCCTTGTCCACAGCTGTGAAAAGTAGTTCCTGCCTTTTACATGTGGAACTCAGTACATTGCAGGTGAAGCAGGTTTTCTCATTGTTCTAGTCTTCTAAACCTTATATCGCCATCCTTCTGCTGTCCTTAATTACTTTCAACACTCTTCATTACCTTCCATTACCTCATTTATCATTACATCACTTTTATCACCTCATTTCATGTGCAAAGTGACAAGGACAGAGGAGCGGAAGAAATGCGACTCGGTTCCGCAACTCTTCTGTTTATTTTGTCCATCTTTTGATTTTTTTTTTTTTCAAATCATGTCATAAGAACTTCACTTACATAATCTTTTACTTTCTAATTTTTTCCCCCTAAAATCTAATTCTGACGCCTAACTTTTTGATGTTGCCTTCATTCCTTCCCCTTCTGAAAGGATCCTGCTTCTCATATCCAAGTAGAAGTCCCCGGAATCTGTTGCTACCAGGTAAGGGTTAAACCACAGTAATTTTTCTGTTTGGGGATAATGGTAGAAGCATTTGATTAATTTTTTATTTTATTTTATTTTATTTATTTATTTATTTATTGCTTTTACTTCAAGTGAAGGAAAGCCAACAAAACACAAATGTATTTTAGGAGCTTAGCTGATCACAAGGAAATGCTTCACAAATCAGTATCCTGTTATCTTGAGCCTGTTTATGTTGCTAGTAGATGGGTGGAATTGACAGAGTATTTGTAAGCGATACTGAACATTTATATTTTCAAAAAAAAGTAATGTAAATTCTGCCTGATCTCACAGACTTGTTGAAACGGCCTTTCAGCCTGAAATCTGTATGTAGGAGTATATTCTATGTAATTCACTCTACCTTTGTTCCTAGAAAAGCCAGTAAACATGCAGCAGGAAAAGGGCAGCACTTAGTTTGCAAATTTCTGCTTAACATGTAAATACTATATGGTATTCACCAAATTATCAATTAATAAACTAATAAGTCACAACAATATGTCTCTTGGAAGAGATTCTACTGGACAGTAGATTGTTTTAAACACAGAAGATTGTTTCAAATTTCAGAACTGCAGATTGAATTGTACAAGAAATAGGGAAGGGCTCCTTGCATAATTCTCAGTTTGTCTCCTATTCGCTACAGAGTGAATGAAATGTTTGATGTGTTTTGCATTGTTTTATTTTTGCATGAAAACCTTAAAGAATATTGTTTGATTTTGATATTTTTGATGGGCATTAGGATACTAATTATGTGTAAATATTTTCATAAATATAGATAGGTTTGTATTGTCATTTTGTTTGTTTTTCTTATAGGTTTCTTTTAAGAAAATGTTTTTAACTCTATCTCTACTGGTATTTTACTTTGTTTTAATGTACTGATGTTTTAATGTGATTCACAATTCAATTGTTAATAGGAGGACTCCAAATTTCATCTGACAGTGTTGGCTGGACCATTTTCAATGTATTAAAGGAATAGCTGCTTAATTCAAAGCCACTGAAAATTGGGCATAAAGGTCCTAATATCCTAATTCTGGAATCTCAGCCAACAGTATTGGTGTGACACGGAAGTCTGTGAGGTACCTGGATGATTATTGCAGTTCCAAAAATTCTGTGAAGTAGAGGAATGCTTCTACCAGATATGAACTCAAAATTACCGAGTTTATTAATGTAACATTTTAATCAATAGCAATTTGGCTGACCAAAGCTTACATAGTTTCCTTCTAGTTTGTCTACAGCGTATTTGTCTGTGGACACACACAGCTGAGTATGTGCATATCCTTTTTTTCAAAGTGGAGAGAGTAACAGAAGCCATTTTAGTGTGAGAAAGTTCTCAACGTTTTGAAATAAAATGCTTCAAATATAGCAAACGAAGTATCTTAGGTTTCTCAGTGTCCTGTCTATTAATAATCAAAAGTATAAGCTGATTATCATCTTAGGTGAATTTTGACTGTACTCTTGTGTCATTTATCTCTTTGATCTCTCTCTGTGGATCTCTATTTTGGTAGTGGACATGACTAATAGTTGATGCTGGGTCAAAGGAATGTATTCGGAATTTAAATGTGTTGCAGCAACAAAAAAAGCCACGGTCATGGTTTCCAAAATAAATCATGTATGTAGCCTTTTTTACTGTAGTAGAATTTGTCTTCTGTATTATGAAGAAGATTTGTCCATCAAAGTCTTGGTGAGAGGCATTCAATAAGAATATATTTAATTATGATCTTTTATTTTTTTTTCTCAAAGGAGAAAAGAGATACTCAGTGAATTAGTTTCACATTGCTACAAGAAGTAGCTGGTATCTAGATTGATGTTTATGAAAACTGCCCCTCTTTGGTAATACTGATGCAGTTGACAGCTTGGAGTTTTACTGAACAATTTAGCCTAAATTAGAGATGCTTAGATACTTCAATTATTTTGGGTGAGAGTTCAGTATTAGGAAAGCCAAAGCTTTTATGAAAATATTTGATGATCCTCTGTAGAATGGGTTGAGCTGGAAGGGGTAATTAAAGGCCATCTAGTCCAGCTCTACTGCAAAGAACAGGGACATCTAGAGCTGGATGAAGTTACTTAGAGTCTCGTGGAGCCTGATCTTGAATGTCTTCAAGAAGACATCTCTGGGCAATGTGTTTTAGTACCTCTCCATCTTCCTTATATGGAACGTCTTCCTTATACCCAGTCTTACCCAGTCTAAATCTCCCTTCCTTTAGCTTGAAACTATTTTCCCTTATTCTGTCAAAATCCTTTCAAAATGTATATCAAGTTAGTCTCATTGAAGTGATGATGCGCTGTGCTGTAACATTAATGTTCTAAGACTCTTCTCCTGAGCCTTAGCTAAAATATAGGAAATTTTCAATGCGGTTACACTGGGTTGCTATTCTTGATTTCAAGCTATAATGAAGGAACTTCAGAGGGTTTTTTCCAATTTTTTTTTTTTTATTTTTATTTAAACTGTGGTATAACTTGGATTACAGGTTGTCAGAAGCAAATTGTGCTACATTTTCTTCCATGGTTACAGCCTTTGTAATGAAGTGTATAGATGTACCGTGTACTGTTTTTATTGGAAGTTGGAAATTATCTCAAACTGCTTAGTTTTATGACATTTTTTTCTTGTCAGAATCTGCCATGACAATTGCTTAACAAAAAAAATTCATACCTTTTAGGTTCTTAATTCTGCTCTGTCTTTACCTGATAAAATATTTGTAAATACACAGTATAGGGTGATTGTCTTACATCTATAGAAGGGGCACTGAGAGTTGATGTAATTCTGAAACCAAGTATGCAACTGAAGAGAAACTTACACAAAGTATTTTTTAGGAGGGATAGTTCTGAAAAATGCCCCACTGGGTTGCAAAACTGATGAGCAAAACTGCCAGTCCTGCTTCCTCTAATTCATGCCTCCTCAGTATTTTTGGACTTGTTCAGAGTCAATTGTCGAGCCATTCCCTAAACCCCGCAACCTCCCAGAGCAGCGCCACTTTCATCAGCACGTTCTGGTCCAGGGAGCATAGTTAGAGCAAAAGTGTGCCTGACTTGTGCCCATCATCCAGGCATCCCTGTGTGATGGTAGGAAAAGCCTGTGAGGGAAATCTGGGTCAACAAGTGCTGCTATAATGCAGCCCCAAAACCAAGGAACTCAAAACTTGCCTAAAGTCGATTTTGTACAGTTCTTTTCAATGTATCTCTCAGGACAAAATTCTTAATACATTAAATAAGAAAGATGAGCCTTTCAGATGCTAAGGAAGGCATGGTTTCATAACTAATCATTTGAGCAATTTGGAACACTAGATAATCACAAATCATATTCAGTTATTGAAAGCAAATGACAACTTTCCAGTAACAGCTTCAAAGCTGTTTGCTGCCTTCTGTATTTTCAGAGGCTTCTCACCATGTAGAAGGAAGGTTACACCAGGACACATCTTTTGATATCATCTGACATTATGCAGTGCACCCATCACATTGCATCATCATTGAAATAAACACTGTTCTGATCATGTCTTTTCCTTCCATTAAAACTTAATAACAAAAAATGAAATTGCACTTGAGACCAAATGAATTCCTACTAGCTTTTTTTTTTTTTTTTTTTTTTTTTTTTTTATACTATGTTTGGTTTTAAATGCTAGATTAAGTTGAGTTGGAAGAATATCATCTTCTCTGAAATCAGCAGTTCTAATGAACAGGTATGAAGGTTCAAGGCTTTACCCTTTGTAACTTCTAGATGTTTAATTTTTCAAAATTTAACTGGAGAAATCGGATGTGCTGAAGATCTGGTATAGCACAGCAGCTAGATGAATGTTATTTTTCCAGCTTGCTCTCCTCCTGAAGCACTTTGTGGGGGTGTTTTCAGTATTTCCAGACTCCTGGGAGATTTTTTTTCTTCACAATTCTAATGCCTATCATTGTCAAAATTTAAATCAGTAATATATTGATGCAATGAAAAGACATGATTGGGATTACCAAATTAAAGGAAAAGAAAACAAGTATCAGAATCCTTCTTTCTTGATTGTCCTTTTATGCCTGAATAGTGGCAGAGTTCTGGTCAGCACCCAAGTACTCACATGTTAACAGTAAGTTATACTATTCAAGGTCTGCCTGTATGCCTTTTTTGCCACTGTTTTGGTGGTGTGCTTTTTTACTTTGCGTACTTCTCTCTCACTGCGTTTACTTTTGTGTAATTTCTGTAGGGAGCTTCAGCACTGACTTGCACAGTAAAATAGCACGAGTAAATTATTTAAAATAGGTATAGTCACTTCAGTGTGATTTAATAATTAAGAAACCCTTTTAAGAAAAAGGCAGCTCCACAGAGACTTCTGGTTAAGTACTGCAAACTCTCATTTGCAAACTAGTAGCTCCGACCAGCAGCCCCGAAGTTTCTGAATTACTATGCAGTTGTCAGCTGTGACAGCAACAGGGAGAGATTCTCAATCTGCCTGTAGTCCCTGGTGTTTATGTTAACCATTTCATGAATGCTGCATTTGACCTTGTAGATCGAGATATGGGAATCTTTAGTGTCAACAAACTTTAGGAGTCTATCTCTTTTTGTTTTATAGCAGTAGTTTTTTTTTTTTTTTAAGTAAAATGAATAAAATATTCCAGGTATGATCTTTTCATGATTTTAAGGGACTGTACTTCCCAACCCTCTTATCGTGATGTTTGAGTGTATGAAGATGCAAACTGACTATCCTTTTTTGCTTTCTAATTATTTTGCAAGTTCAGGACTAAATTATCATTACAAGTTCAGATAGTTAAACATTACCTGTCTTGCTCTTTCATTCTTCTCTTTTAAGGAATTGTTGTCATATGCATTTGCGTTATCAAACTTGAATCTGTCATTTTAAGTAAACAATATTTTATTAACAGATTGCTCTGCGTATGCACAAATCGAAGTGCTAGTGGTTTGATTTCCACATATTTAACTATAAGTACTTGTGAAGCCCAGTGTAAACTGTAATGTTAGCTTTAAGTTTCGTTTAGGAAATTATCCAGAGAAA